GCCCTCCTGGAGGCTGGGGCTCACCTCCCGCCTGGCCAGGAGGGGGGGCACGGGATGGCCCGGGGGGGGGGCTCCAGCCTCACGCCAGCACAGTGAACGCAGGAAATTTATACAGGGCTTTACAGAACAAAGCTACTGAAATCAGCCACACGATGGCCAGACATAAGAGGGGCCCCGGCCACCCCCCACCCCATCACCCGCTGTCCGAGGAGGTGGGGGGGGCGGTGGAAGGGGACCTGGGGGTTCGGGTGGGGGTGCAAGGGGCCGTGGCGGAGCAGAGACGGGGGGTCCAGCTCCCCAGGAGCTCACGCTGCTGCTGCCCCAGGGCTTGGCTGACCAGCCCCGGCAGCGCCAGCAGGCTCAGCCCCAACGCCTCCATCTTGCTCTCCAGGGCGCCCAGCCGCTTCTCCAGGTCCTCGTTACGCTCCTGCAGCTCCGAGACCATGTCGTACATGATGTTCTGGGTCTGACGGGAATCGGGGGGGTGTGGAAGGGGGGGTGTGTCTCAGCGCCGGGAGCCCCCTGCAGCGGGGTCCCCCAGATCCCACCCCGGCATCGCTCACCTTTGCCAGGTCCACCAGCGTGTTGGCCTGGTCGTTCAGCTTCCGCTGCTCCATCTTCACGCTCCTCAACCTGCAGAGACATGGGGGGAGCAGGGTCAGGGTCAGTGACACCCCCATGCAACCCCCCCCAGCACCCTAGCATGCAGCCCCCCCCCAATGCCGCAAGCACAGCCTCTGCCCCTCCATCCTCTTCCCAGACAGCCCTGGGGGGGGGGGGCTGCCCCGCCGTGTCCCCCACTCCCCGCGTTTTGCAGCGATGAGCCCATGCACACGGGAGCAGACGGAGGAGAGGAGCAGCCCCGCGGGGCGACTTACTTCTGAGCTCTGCAGGGACGGGGCAGAACAGAGACAAAACACAACAGCAGGTTTAATACCACCACGAAGAGCGCAGCGAGACGACAGCAGCCGCAGCACGGACCCCCCCACCCTGGGTGTTCCCCCACCAAGCCGGACACCCATAGGTTTCCCCCCCCAAAGTAGGAGGCAGCTAGGAGCTTGCAGCCCCCCAGCCCTGCTCCCCGATGCGGGTGAAGCTGGACGGCAGACACGGTCACATCAAGCCTCATTCATCGGGTACCGTTGGCGTCACCCCAGCATCATGGGGGTCCTCACATGGGAAAGCATTCCCACAGCGGGGACGGGGACAGGGGACGGGGACCACCTGGCTCCCAACCCGGGGGTCCAGGCAGCACGGGTGCAGAAGGGGAAAAAGCACCCGTCTCTCCTTCCGGAGCCACGACAGGGAAAAACCTCCTCGTAGGAAGCAGGTAAAGGTTTGGCACTTACTGATGGATGGCTTGGAGGAACTTACGCTGGTGTTTCCGAACTTTGGCATGGTCGATCTTCTTCACCAGCTTGGTGTGTTTGTAGATGAGCCACGTTTCCCTGAGTACGTTGGCAGCAGCATTTTTCACCTGGAAGCAACAGAGCACCGGGGTCAGGGGTGGAGATGGCTGGTCCTGGGCCTGGTGATGGGGCTAGCGGGGGGGACGGCACTGGCAGGGGGGGTCTTACCCGCTTCGTTAGCTGCGTATCCATCATGAAGTTGTGCACGTGTTTCTCCGCTTTGGTGAGCTCTAGCTTTCTGGCAACGACAGCGACGACCAGAGCGGTGCAGCCGGCACCCTGAGGGCAGAGAGCCCCGCGGTGAGGGCAGTGGCAGGACCGGGGGGTGCAGAACTCGTCCCCCCCCTGGCGCTCACCATGATGCCGGTGAGCAGACACACGCCCTTCCCGCAGTAGGTGTGCGGCACCATGTCCCCGTAGCCGATGGAGAGGAAGGTGATGGAGATCAGCCACATTGCCCCCAAGAAGTTGCTGGTCACCTCCTGCTTGTCGTGGTACCTGCCCGGGGCCGAGCGCAGCCACTGTCACTGCACGGTCCCGGTCCCACCACGTGCCCCCCCACGGCGCTACCGGCTTTGCCGCATGGTTTTTAGCCCCTTTCCCATCTGCCAGCTGTAGCCGGGAGAGTCCCCAAGCTCCCAGGTGCACTGCTGGCATGTGGGTCCCCAAAGAAGCTGGGGACACCCTGGGGACACCAGGTATGGCCACTCTGGACATGGGTGCCAGGGAGGAGGAAAACCTCCAAGCTGCGGCCCCCAGGAACAGGGCTGGCTCGGGGGGGGCTGCTGGACGAGGATAACGAGGTGACGGGTGCGGAGCAGCAGCCCCCACGCAGGGATGGCAGCGACCTCCGTCCTCCTGGAGCTCCCCCAGAGATCTCAAAGCACAGGACACGGGTGTCACCGCTGGACCCCCCAGGGAGGGGACACCCCATCTCTGCAGAGCGGGGGAAGGTTGCACAGACCTGGCTGGAGCGGAGCACCCCTCGCCCCGCGAGCCCCTGGGGGGCCACCCTGGTGAGCCGCCCCCCCCCCCCCCCACACACCCCCGGGCAACAAGAGGGCCCCGCGCCCAACGGCGCGC